GGACATCATCGACCCTAGCAGCACGTTTGGTTAGAGAGTATCCAAATCCAAGATGTTTTCTCAGATGCCGCTTGTATCCATGGCTGTACATGTATTTCCGCTTCACGGACAGGGCCGCTGCTAATACCCGTTTCCTGTGCAAGGTCGACGTGCTCCTTTGTTTGTTGATACCCAACACTGTGTCTTTGATGTTCCCACACGACTCTTTGGCGAACTGCAGAAATCTTCTTGACTTTGGACAAGCATTAATTCCCTTCTCTTTTAGTTGCTGTTTTTTCTTTGGAGTTGCTTTGTGAATCAGTCTTGTCAACACTTCTGCATACTGTCTACTGTTTTTTGGCATTGCTTGCTTGGCACGGTACACAGCCTTGCGAAAACTACCACTAGAGATTGATGGCTGCCGTGCCTCTGATGAGTGTGTTAATGGTGGTGTTCTTTTGATGGAGGATGTCCTTTCCTTCTTTTCGGCATACTTTGCCCTGCGTTTTTCATTGGTCCTCTGTTTTGCCTGTGCTGTTTGCTTTACTCTTTGATTCTGTTTCTGTCTTCTCCATTTGCTTCTCTGTGCTTCCTTTGCAAGACAAGTTTTGGGTGCTGCTGCCTTCTTGGCTTTACTTGCACTTGGCTCTGCTGCATTTCTCTGACGAAACTTTTGGACACGAAATTGGGCTTTTTTCTCCTCTGTTAAATTTGAAAGATACTCTTTGACCCTCAAGTTTTCAGATGCTCGATGCAATTCATAGAGTTTATGGTTCTGTTTGATACGCTGTCAGTACTCTCTCTGGTATTCTGCACGAGACTTCCTTTTTTTTTGGAGGTTCCTCCACCGCTATCTCAAGCTGTTCGTCCAACTTCCTCTTCACTCGAAGATTATAGCGAGGTGCATCAGTCATTTTGTACTCTGTACCTGTTGTATACATTACCAAAGAAACCAAAGTAGAAATTCAAGATGTATTCAACCCATAAAATCCACCAATTAAAAAGTTGCTATTGCCCATTCTATTTTTGTACAGTTTGGATAAAAGGTGTCACTGTCAATTACAAACAAAATTTAAGAAATGAAAAAAACACAGTAAAAAATACAACCAAACAAAAAGAAAGAGGTAAAACACTAATATGAAAAACAAAACAAAAAGTAAACACAAAAAGACATGTCACGGGGGTTCTGACTAATTATGGCGCCATGGCGAGAATGTCTCCTTGCCTTCAAAATACATGTGTGCCAACATCAGCATGTTTGGCCTACAACAGTAGGCCTAGCTTTTTCTTTTTGAGAAACTTAAAAAAAAAAAACACTAACAGGGCCCCAAGGGGTTCCTCAAGGGGTTCTTTGCTGATTTTTGTATCTTTTACACAATTTTCAAGTGTTTCTTACGTTCGTGACTGCGGACGCTAAATAATTTGTAAAATATCACGGTGTGTAACTAACGTGAAACACTGATGATTACGAAAAATCGGCAAGGCTATTCTTGAAGTTTTTTCATTTTTTTGATGGACTTTAACTTAAAAAAGTGTAAATTATTTGACGTTTTGCAATTTCAAGAGGGACTTCAGATGTTTATTATTTTTTTCTTCCATTCGTTAAAGATGGACACGAATCCAAACAACGGTCCGCTACTAAGCCCACAAATCACCCATTGATTATCCATTAAAATCTTCCCTTTTACAATGCCATCTGAACTCTTCTCACAAAAAAATACAGAAAATAAAATCTATTTAAGTTGATACAAACCTTTTGGCTGCTCTTTCCCTGATATTTCTCTTGATTGTTAGAAGGAAAGCTGTCATCGACGATGAATTTCTCTGTTCGTTACAAAGTGGCGCGAAAGCGGCGGGGGTGGACGCGATGCTTAAAATAGTTGTATATCGGAAAAGAAGTGACCGAGCCTACAACAATTGACCTTTAGGTCATTCACACAGGGTACCATTTCACGTGTATGACCACAGTTCAGACTGCGTTGATCACCAGTTAAAACATGGGTACGTTTTACGTTAGTTATAAAGTGGACACGAAAATTATAGCAATCGATGTGTTGATGTTTTCTTATCCTCAAGGGTAATTGGGATCTTACAGACATTTTACACAATGTTTATTGAGCGTATTTCGAATAAAAGTGGCTTATACAGGTAAGGATGAGGCTTGTAAATGATGATTCTAGCCCTTTTTATCATCGTATGATGTGGTGGACACAATGTGAAACGAACGTTAACGCAGGTTCAGCTGCCATTTTTGGAGCGTGAATTTATTTTATTTTTTTGGGTAAAGGGCCAAAATATTACTTCATTACTTTACTCAAATAATATGACCATTATGATAAAATACGTGTGTTATAGGTAAAGTATTTGAGTTGATGAAATTTTGTTCAAGCAATGTCCCATTTTTGGGCGCCATTTTGGAACTAAACTTTACTCTTCAACGTGAATAAAAATGATAAACTCGCACTCACACTAATTTATTTGACTTTTTTAATCTCTCAAATACATGTACAACTATAATCTCAAGAAAACACTGCTTGAAAATGGTTACATCATCTGAGAAATTAAAGTTCATTTTATGCATCATGAAAGTTAGCCAGTATTGTGACCTTACACATGTATGTCTTCAACCCTTTCAGAACTCAACCTTAAAACCCCAACAGAATATTTTGTTAGAATCTGTCAGGATGGGTACAGTACCCCTAAACTGGCAGTCTTTTACATTGGGTTGGCAAACCTCCAGAATCAAAGTCAGAAATATGTGTGTGCAGTTCCCATATGGTGTTGGAATTTGCCAGGATACGGTTCCAAGTACATGTAAATCATGCTAGGGAGTGCGAAGACCAAAGACTTGTTTTTCCGGGTGCGGACAGGTCGGTCAAAGCGTTGAACAGCTGTACAAGAGGCATCGCCGAGCATGGTTCATGATTGTGAGATTCCCAGAGTAGATCATCCTGGCACACCAACGACGAACTCATGTCTTTAATTCAGGGGCGGAGGAACCGGGAGGGCTGCGGGGGTGTTTGCCCCACCCCCCAGATTTTCCCAAGTGCCCCTTTTGCGGCCATAAATGTGCCCCCTCGAGCATTAAAGTGCCCCCTCGAAATGAAACAAAAATGCCCTTAAAGTATCTTACTATTTCTTAGAAGTAACCATTTCCCACTAATGGTTAGATATTTTTGATATAAACAAGGATATGAAAACCAAGTCCCAAAACCCATACAATACGCCCCGAAAATGGGCACATAATGCATATTTAGCATATAATCATTGGTTTTGAAGAGCGCCCCCTATGTTTTACGGAGGCCAAGTGTCCGGTGAAAAAAACGTGACGACATTTCAGCACGGGTTTGCAAGTGCCACTTTTTGGTGATCCCCCCCCCCCCCCCCCCCCCCCCCCCGTTTCAAACCCGTTCCGCCGCAACTGCTTTAATTAAAGGCCGATTTTACCTGGGGTGGTAACTCTGGTGCAGGGGCGGCGGAACCGGGGGCTGGGCCCCCCCAGATTTTCCCAAGTGCCCCTTTTGCGGCCATAAATGTGCCCCCTCGTGCATAAAAGTGCCCCCTCGAGAAAAAAAAAAGCCCTTAAAGTATCTTACTATTTCTTAGAAGTAACCATTTCCAATAATGGTATAGATAGTTTTGATATTAAACGAGGAATATGAAAACCAAGCCCCCAAACCCATACAATATGCCCTGAAAATGGGCACATAATGCATAGATAGCGCCCCCTATGTTGGAAGATCGTACCCCCCCCCCCCCCCCAACTATTTGATTTTACAGAGGCCAAGTGTCCGGTGAAAAGTACGTGTCGACCTTTCAGCACGGATGTGCCCCCCCCCCAAAAAAAAATGCTGAGCAAGTGCCCCTTTTTGGTGATGCCCCCCCAGTTTCAAACCCGTTCCGCCGCCGCTGCTCTGGTGCATGGAAAAAATGTTCCTGTGATGTGGGCACAAGGTATGGTTGCAATTCTTCTTATGAACAATGAATGCGACAATTAGCTGGTGCGTAACTCCTTCCACCATGACAAAGTCTTGTCAGATACTGCTGACCAAGTTTCTTTGTTGTGAGGATTACGGAAGGGGTTACTGTCAGGCTGTGTTGTCGATGAGGTTTCATCAACCACTGATTCTTTATCTCCATGCGTGACCTCGCCGGTTGGCGTTGAACACAGGGTGCCACATGACGATGCACTTGTTGTGCAGCGTCGGCCAAAGAACAATGGGTTAAACACAAAGGGCTGCTGTTTTGGGTGGAATGCAGTGTGTTGACTGTTCCACATATCCACCATGTTTTGCATCGTTGTTCATGCTGTAGGCATGTGCTGCCCAACCCATGGTGAGTTGTAGGCTTGAGTAGCACAACGGGAGGCATGGATATCATTTCTCGTAGACTGCCGACGTGGAGGAGCCGGTGATACTGGTGTCATACGAAAATCCGACTCCTGTGAAAATCAGACTCCTTTACCCTATTATTGGTCACTCCCTCGCACGTGACCAGTCACTCTCCTATTTATGATACTTACGCATGCGCAATACTACCAATGAGTCCATGATTGATGGAGTCGGATATTCACGCTACACCCGCTCTGTTGCCAAAGACTAAGAAACAGGTCATGGTGACCCTTATTCCTGCTTGCTCTCTTTTCTTGGGGGTCCAGAGGTTAGAACCTGCGAGCTCTCTGAAAAGTCAATATTCTGTCTCTGCCTCTGGAAGGGCACCCAAAGCTGGTGGAATATTGCTTTTGGATCTCTTGGTAGCTATATTCCAGAAATATCTTCAGTATAATTTCACAATATAGTGTATAATAAATCTGAGAGAGGGTGAGGAAAAACATACAAGCAACCCAAACCACAGAAAACAAAGACACACTTGAGTGCAGACAGAGCTGTATACTGTCATGGAACTCATTTCCATTAGAACAATGGTTGGACGATGGTGGAGCAAACACTATTGCAGAAAACATAGCGTGAGTCTTAATGACAATGACAAAATAAAATCTTACCTTCTAAGATTCCACTCACCTGTAACAATAATCTCTCATCTCCTTCTATAGATGTCTTTTTCCAGTCAATGACCTCAGAGAATGGAAGCTCCCATCCATTGCTAAGTATGACAGGAATACAAGCTGCCTGTAAAGATTCCAAGAACCGAAAAGACCCGAGGCGACGTCCTCTTGGCACAAGACAGAAAGTAGAATTGTGCAGCAAAATCTGATAGTCATGCCTGTTAAGAGGAGACATGTAACAACTTCATGTTAAACAAAACTTGAAATTTTCAAGGGGAAAGTCAAAAAAGTGTCCACATTTAAAGTTTGAGTACAATACATGTAAATAAGCCATTCCATGTTTAAACCAATCCTATCCATGATGTACTGTATTATGTGAAATGACTTGAATTTGGGAAATTATATTTGATGGCATATGAATGTTAAAACCTACAGAAAAACACATTAAAATTACATACATTTAGGAGAAATCAAGTTTGCAGATTTAACAACAACTGTCCTTTTTTGAAAATTTGCATACAAAGTTTAAATGAAATTTTCAAATGGTCGTAACCTACATTGTATAATCCTTCTCTAGTGGAAGTCAAAGAATCAGTGGGACATCGCATTGGGTTTAAAAATGACAGGTCAATTTGCAAGCAAGGTCTCCCACATCATGTTTCACGTGAGCCCTAATGCACATATTTCCAATCCACGTACATTTTTAATGTGGCGCTGGACTTCCTGAAAAGGTTGTGGAAAAACTACAAATAGAAACTTGATGAGATTTACACATGATCTTTAACCGATTGTTTCCTTCATTTTTACAATAGTTCAGGGTGGCATCGTAATAAGTTTAAAAATGAGAGGCACTTCCCAGCATTTTCCCGTCCTGCAATTGTTGATGTACTGCAGTTACTGTTTAGCCTAACTGTTTAGCCTACCTTTAGGCTACATGTCGAGCGCAATGTGAGTCTCCTGCGCAAGTTTAAACCGCAGAAGTTTAAACTTGCGCGAGCATTAATTTCCTTGCTTCAAATTGAACAATTGAAGGGATCATAATCATTCTTTTGACGTTAACAACGGGATACCCCAAGGAAATTATGATATATTTACATTTAAGAATATAAATAAAATGCTAATTAGTTTTACAAGGCAAAAAACTTAAAGCTGGACTCCATTATTGAACAACTTCAGTACACTTTCCAAGCAATCGCCGCTAGTGTGCTTATTGATTGCTTGCCCAGTCCCCTCCCCGCCCCCGCCCCCGCCCCCCAGGCTTCTAGCCAGGCATACAATAGGATATCGGGCCGATACGCTTCGAAAAAAATCCGATACGCTTGAAGTTAACCGATATGCTATTGATACGCTTCACATTTTCCGTGACAAAAAAAAACTACCCAAGGTTTTCTCACTACTTGTGTATACAGGTATAAAATAAGATCTGTTGCTGAAACGACTTATCAATTGTTACCCGAGGCAAATCATTTTTTTAAACGAACAGTAGAAGCACGTCCCACGAAAAGATACCGAGGTTCGCTACCAAGCGCTGGTGGTATACACTGCCGCGCTGGCCGGCCGGCGGGTCGTGCGTGAGCGAACTCTTTCGTTGGAATCCGATGTGATTGCATGCGTGCCCCGGTCATGCATGCAACACGCACGCTGTATGATCGGACCAAACCATTTTTTGGTAATAAAGGGGTGTATTGTCTTGGGAACAATAATTATCAATATTTCCATAGAAGAAAAGAAAACTAGTACTTTTTATAGAGTCTGAAACATTTCTGTATACGACAATCAGTTGTTCTATGTCACAATATATTTTTTTTCTGGAAATGTATTCAAGAAACGACGTAAAACGCAAAACTGGCACTAAATCACCCCTTACGAAATTAATGGATTCGCCCGTGCATCATGCTGGGTTTTTTTAAGAAAGTACGATCGTATATTTGATGTTTTGACGTTACTACTCGTTTTAATCACAACAATTTGATAAGATTTGTTATAAAAAAAGGACTTATTTATTCTTAGGACTAAACAAATCAGCATCTGTTGCCACAAAGCAAGATTTGTAGCGCTCCTGTCAGACGCCACATGGTGGGATGCATACGCTCTCAAGTGCTGCGGGAAAATGTTGTCATTCGCCGGCACAGGCATGACAGGCTGATGCCTGGCCATGCGCTAACTTGCCGGCAGAAATTCCCGGTGTTTATTTCTCATCGTCAAGACGTCAATGTTAATATTTCTCGCCAATGGTGATCATCTTAGTCGCGCTTTAAATTGTGTTTCTTCATGTTTCCACCACTTTTTGCAATTTTCCTGTAAAAGGTACCTTTTATCATTATCAGGCCAAACAAAAAAAATGGTGTGTTTACGGTAACCGACCTGGAATTTTTTCGGCCAAATTGCCGACCTCAAACTTTTTATTGCCATTTTGAAGGTTGATAATTGACAAATTTCAAACATTTCAAGTACTTTTAATTATTTGCCACGAACAAAAAACATTTTCCACACTTGAATCTGACCATGATTTGACACAAACATACCCATGTTAAAACGTGCGAAAATCGCGACGATCTCAAAACTTGAATTCTCAAACTACGAAGTACGATTATTTTTGCACAAACGCATCGGGGTACGTCTGGCTGGCCGACGGACGGCATGGTTCATCCCACGTACAAACGTGCGTACTGCGTATCGGCCCGATACGCTGGAATTGCGGCCGGCCCGATACGCCGACAAAAAAATGCCGATCACATTTTTTAGCCCCTGATACGCACAATATAATGATCATACACGCCATTAAAATGCACAATTTGATCGTTACATACACCATTATTTCATAATCTTGACCAAAATCCTGTTTTTCCGATGCATGTGTGATCAAAATGCACACGATGATGTGTTCTGCCGACCACCAGCAGCACCAAGCTAACATACAGCATGGTACACTGGTTCCCTTCGCCAGTTAACGGAATCAATGCTTTGATGAAGGACCGGAACCAGTGACTACTGCCTCTCTCCGGTCCATACTTCGTATCATACAGCATGATAATGTAGTGGGCCGAAGTTGGATCGTAAAAATATTACCAAACAAACTTCGCTGGAGAAAGAGAATTTCTGCGAATTAATTCACAGAACGTGATCTTTACTTTCTGTGTATGTGTTTTCCATTAAAATGACGAGATTGCAAAGCTCAAACTTGTGTCGAAACATCGTAGCGTGTTTCTGCAGTAGTGCAAGATTTTCGGCCACGTGGGCCGTGAGCACGGCGCGATGTTCGGCCAGCCAGGCGGAATTTTAGTGGTGCCAGCGGCCGTGATGTATGTTAAGCATAAAGTGGAATCACCGACCTCAAGTATATTTTTAATTAGGTGAGGCAAGTTTTAATCACTTTTGATAGCCAGTCTTGATAACTTTCGTGGCGCAAATGAAAATAGGCGAAATTGGCGAAATAATTTTCCGACCTACTGACGCTATTTTGAAAGGCATGTAATCGGAAGCAAAAGTTGTTTTTTTTCTCCACCTTTCTTAATTTGAAACTTACATGTAAGTTTCAAATACTTCATACTTTTCTAGTTAGGAAGCAATGAAACACAGGTTGTGAAATGTTAATTTTTTAAGTTAACAATTTTGATTTTTTTTCTTTAATTACAAAAATATTAGTGACCTACAAGATCTCCTCTGAATTTCAAGGACAAATCTTAAGGTAAAGACCCCCAGATTTGCTCTAAAATGCACCAGAGAGCTTCTAAAGTTTAAACATTTTCGGGTTGTTGAATCACAGCAAATCTTCCCCCACATGTTTGAAAAAATCCTGGGGAGAACCCTGGCCAACGATACAAATTAATTTGGATTGAAATGTATCGATTGAATATCTTCAATGCTTGAATAGTGGTTTTATACAATTTTTTTGCGAAAGAACACGCATGGGCATGCAGAACTGAAATGGAAAAAAAAAATTACAAAATAAAATTATTTCCCTACCTACCTACCTGGATATTTTTCAGGCCGTTACCGTAAACACACCATTTTTTTGGTTTGGCCTCAGTAATGAAAACAATGAAAACTTGAGACCTACATGTACATTTTTCTTTATGAAAAAGGATCTTGTTTATAAACAGTTCTTGGGTTTGACTATAATGGCAAAGATTTCATTAAAAGGTAAACTAGGCGTAAGGCCAAAAAAAAAAAGTCTCCGGTTTCTGGTATGCGCGCGCGTCGCCGTAGCCATGCGCATCGGCAAAATGAAAAAGTTTTTTTTTCAATGAAAGATGATGTCTCAAAACCGCCAAACTCACTGGTTTGACTGGAATCCTGCTGCTGCACAATTTTAACGTGTTTTTAGATCGGGTTATGATCGAGAATAAGCTTTATGTGGCCTCTCTGGACTCCCATATATTTGCACTAAGTTTAGTTGGGCACCATTTGCAGTCATCAGTCGACATTTGAAGCAAAAAAGTCAGGTTAAAAAAAAAAAAGCCGCGTCGCCGCACCACTTTTTGGACAAGCTCCATACCAGAAATCGGAGACTTTTTTTATTTGGCTTAATGAGTGCTTTTTGAAAGACATCTAATGCTGACTACCGTGTTGCATTACTTGTAACTGAAATAATTTTGTTTTAAAATAAAATCCAGGCCCACTTTCTGCAGCATACTTGCTGTTACAGTGTTGGGGGTTTTTGCTCTTTTTCCGATCATAAAATATGCTTCCAAATGGCCTTAGATTGCACCACAGAGCATCTAGAATGTCAACATTTTCTGGGGCCCTTGAGCGGGCCCCGAACCCCACGCCGTAAGGGCTTCCGCGCTCGCAAGATCCATTCGTCACATGCCCCTATCCTTTAAATTCATCCTGGCTAGAACCCTGATTCCATCCTCCCCTAACCATACCCACCCTATCACCTACACATCCCAACCCCACCAAAACTCCAATCCCTATCTCCTTCCCCCTCCCCTGACCCGTACCCTCCCCAACCCCAAACACCCACCTACACCTACCCTATCTTCCCCTATCTGTCCTTACCCACCCTACACATCCCCACCCTAACCCTTACTCGAATTCCAATATCCCACCCACCCCATTCCCCCACCCATACATCCCCACCTGACCCCATGCAACCCCAACTCTGATCCCTATATACTTCCCCCTCCCCTTATCCAACCCCTACAACAACCCATCCCTACACATCCCCAACCCAACCCTACTCCGATCCTATATCCCGCCCCTGCCCAACCCCCTCCTAACCCAACCCCTACATCCATGCCCATCCTCTCCCTACCTGTCTCTCCCTACCTGTCCCCACCCCACCCCTACAAATCCCCACCGCACCCAAACCCAGTATTCCAACCCCTCTCCCCGCATCCTACCCTACTCATCCTACTCACCCAAACCCTAACTCCAACCCTATCCCCCAACCCACCCCACCCCAAACCTCCCCTACCCCATCCCTACTCCAACCCCATAAACTAAAAGATCAAACCAGAAGCTCATGCACATCCCCAAAATACATAGTGTACATGTTATACTGGTATACACGCACGTACATGTTAAACCAGTATACATGTACACGTATGTAACAATTAAAAACTTTAACATTTCCTTGAATTAAAGTTCCTCAATAAAATCATAAAATTTACTGCAATGATATGAACCTAACTGAAGTTATAGAGATCATACATGACAACTGCATTTAATTTTTTTCCCCAAGTTAACTAGAACCAAAAACTTCAACATTTTTATCTGAACGCAGACGGACATTCCAGCCAGATGGACTTCCGGGGTACCTCCATTGTTGTCCCATTGTCCCTATTTCTAAAGATTTCGTTGCGGGGTACCCTTTTTTCTAAAGATTTTATTTGTGGGGTACCTCGAACAAAGGACGGGTACCCCACAAGTGGTCCCTGGTCAGAACGGACGGATGGACGCCCGGACAGACGGACGGAAATTGGTATTACATAGGCTCGCATCTGCTTCGCAGCTCGCCAAAAATGGGCCTATAAAATGTTGCCGGCTGATACGGTGCAATTGCATAGTGACACATGCATGACGCACCCCTACGCATCTCACGATGTGTTTGCGTTACATCAAATTCGTACTTGACGCACCCCCTTCGTTGCGATTTGACTGACCAATTTAGAGACATGACGCACATGCCCTGGGGGTCCGAGGGTGCGTCTTACAATTGACAAAGTGCATAAGCCTTATTGCAAATAGCAAAATACACTGCTGCACAAAGCATTATGGGCAGGAGAAGGGGGCAAAAAAAAACATGCACCAACACCGTGTTCAAATGCTCACGCAGTTGCTGCCGTGTTCAGCCATGCGGCGTATGCGGTCAATGCTATTTGCGATAAGGCTTATGCACTGGAGTAGACTCTGTGGTTAAGGCCATACAAATGTTAGCATGAAGTTGGTAATCAATGGCATTTTTTCGCACAATGCGAATACGCAGCCACGTGTTGCAGCCGTAGACTGGAAATGCTGTTTTACTATAGTCTGGTTCCCTGACCAAAAGATTGATGGTTGGGGAACTATACTAGTTTTGTTTTGGCCTCCATGTGAACCTTGATCGACGCATGAATTTCCACTTTTGTTGGCAAATTAAGAGACAAATTTCACCAGAAGGTAGTTTTGGTGAAAAATTTGGACGCTTTGGTAAGTGAACCCTCTTGTCGAGTATGAGTCCGAATGCACTCCATGAAACAAATACCATTGATTGCCAACTTTTTGTGCTCACATTTGTGTGGCCTTCAGCACAGAGTCTACTTCAGCGAGTTGCTATAAAATAGGGCTAGACTGCCATGAAAGCCGACTTTCAATGATACTTACTTTTCATACTCGGCATTATCACGATCACATCTCACATCTTTAATTTTCTGCCAGTCTTTTCCATGTCTGCATGTTGTTAACAAAATTATGTCGTAGCCATTGTGAAGATGGTATAGGGCATTTCTTGTGTCAGACCCTATGCCGCTAAGATATCGTTTCCCTTTAAATGCCAGTAAGAACTTCCTTATCACTGGAAAGTTATTTGTTTGGAGATCACCGCGGGGTCCTCCTTTCTGTGGATGAGATTTTCCAAACAATGGCAAAGAAATGTCAAATCCTGGACGAAAGCTTTGCTTGGTGAAACTTGCTTTGGCTAAAATTGCCTGCTCTATATCAAAACCAAGATCCTCTGAATACTCGGGCCAAGTGCCTGAATACAGATTGAAAATCAGATGATTCCTGCCTCCATTCCAGTACGGTAGCTTAGTCAATTTCGACTGAGCATCAGTCACATATTCATGGCTAAGTATATCTCTATCAAGCGTGTCTATGGATGGTACAAAAACACAAGCTTCATCTGGGTTTGATGTAAAATACCTAGAATTCCGAATAGATGTCAGGATCTTTGAATAGCTCTCACTTATTTTCCCATGAACTGGATAAACGTACACCTTGAAAGTATCGCTACATTTTGCTTGGTCAAAGCATGTGTCCATGCGGCATTTGCGATTCTTGTACAGATTTGTCCTAGATTGACGTCTCTGCTTTGGAGAAGCATGGAGGTCGTATTCATATTCGGAACTGTCTCTTTCAGTCCATGTGACATAGGTGTGTAAGTGATCATACTGTAATTTTATATTCTCATTGAGGTTTTGGCCATGGCCGGGCACACTTCCCTGAAGCCACTGTCGATAAACTAGAAACAATACGACAGAACTGACTAACACAACACTGTATCTTGTTCTGGCTTGCATGACGCCGGCAGGAACGACATGCGTATACCACCATGTACAAATACCGCGATAACAAACTCGATATATGCTCGGCGTGCGTTGCAGCTCGCATAGGATGGCTTGGAACGACACGGTCTGGCGTTTCTTTAATGGCGAGTCGGGAACAAAACACCCAAATCAGTCAAAAGAAGTGAATTAATGTGAAAAGGGGGAATGTTGTCCATTGTTCACATCCACTTCGAAAACTCCGCACGCAGAGTAATTAGGTGAAGTAGGCCGCTGCACGTCAGTGCATGGTGATGTGTGGGACCGGTGTCATATGAAAATCGGACTGTATAGAAATTGGACTCTTTTTCCTTTTATTGGTTAAACCCTCTCACGTGACCGGTCCCCTCCTAATTATCTATGCATGAGCGTGCGCAATACCATCAATGAGTCCGTATTTCATAAAACATAAACTTATGCTACACCGGCACCGGCAGCGAATATTTTATTTACACAATAGTACAGGGTACCCATTTTTCAGGCGACTTGAATCACGGTTATAGGATTGTAAAGCGCCGCGTAGCGGCGCCCTACAATCCTGTAACCTTTTACCTACGCGCGCGCGCGTGTACTCTCTCCACATGTTTGAAAGTATAATAATGTATGAATTGCAGGGTTTTGTCGAGCACCGCCGTTGCCTAGTTAATGCTGGCTAATATGGAAGTGTAGATAGGACATGGTTAAAAATAAAACTAATTCGTACGTACGAAATACTAATTCGTACGTACGAAATACTAATTCGTACGTACGAATTACTAATTCGTACGTACGAATTAATAAAGCGCAAGTACGAATTACTCAGTGGCGTAGCCACGGGAGGAGGGGGGCGTGGGGGCAGTGGCGTAGCCAGGAATTTTTCAGTGGGGGGGGGGGGGGGGGGGGGTGCGGCGCTGGGGGGCTGGAACATTTCATGGGGGGGAGTGTCATATTATGGAAGTGTAGATAGGACATGGTTAAAAATAAAACTAATTTGTACGTACGAAATACTAAACCGTACGTACGAAATACTAATTCGTACGTACGAATTAATAATTCGTACGTATGAATTACTAAACCGTACGTACGAATTAATAAATCGCACGTACGAATTACTCGGTGGCGTAGCCACGGGGGGGGGGGGGGGGGGGGGGGGGGGGGCAGTGGCGTAGCCAGGGATTTTTCAGTGGGGGGGGTGCTGGGGGGATGGAACATTTCATGGGGGTTGTCATTTAGATCAATGATAATTTTTTTAGAAACTCAAAATCTCAGTGGGGGCTGTCACCCCCCTGCCCCCCCCCCCCCTGCCAAGTTTCTTTCACAGCTGTTCTGATGTCTTGCAGTTGTTTTGACAGTTGACAGTTGCATTTCCAAAATGTTCCGCGGTAGCTCCAACAGCGCCCTCTATTTCCACACCTCAATTTTTTTTACCAAAGACCACCAAGGAATGGGAAATTGCACCAAGGCAAATTATGGAGGACACCAATGTGCATGAGGACACCAAAAAATAGTAGCCACCTTGTTTGTACTATCCAAGCTTGAAAAAAAAAAAAAAAGCCGCGTGGCCGCGTCAATTCCGGAACTTTGGTCTGACCAGAGACCGAATATTAATTTTTTGGGGACTTAAAAGGACCACCAATGAGGGAACTCGCAAAAAAATTAACAAGGGAACCAGAATCTGAAGGACAAGAGTGGACTATTTATTAGTAATTAAAGTAGCAAATTGTCAAGAAAAAGTCAAATGGCATCGGCAAATAAATCATACACAAACTTGTGGGAAACATAATGCACAGCTTCACTCCTTGCCGCCGTTATGGAAACTGATTGGGCTTAAAATGAAATATGGTCTATGGAAAGGGGCAGAACAACGGGTGAAAATGTGCATACATGTAACTATGGGTTTGGTCAGCCAATCATTAATGAATTATCACTTGGGGGGGGGGGGCATGCTACAAGAGTCCTCGCCTCGCACCCCCCGGGCAACATATGTCTACTCTCCAAGCGTTGAGTATACGGCTGGTTGTAGCAACCACTCCCCAAGATCAACATAATGAAACTTCGCCATGGAGCAGCACCAGTGTCATCCCAATGAGGGGCCTTTATCAAGGCCGGTCCTGACAGTGCTTTCATGGAACGCTGAAGGCCTATCAGACGCCAAGGAGGAATTCCTCGCAACTCTGTGCAAGAATCTCGACTGCGACTTGTTATGTCTCCAAGAGACACACCGTGGCAGTGACAATCCACGACCCATACGCAACCATACGCATGGGCAACCATACGCAAGCTTGGCATTGACAACACCCGAGCTGAACAGCATTACAATGTTACAGCTGACCAAGTAGCAAACCAACTGTTGCTGAACGGAAAGGCCCCCAAAACAACAAATACAGACAGGCACAAGCTACCCGGAGCTGACCATAACCTGTCATATTTCACCAGACCTCTCTCTGCTGAAGAACTACAGAAAGGTATCTCCACCCTACAGGTCAACAAGGCAGCAGGCATCGACGACCTAAGAACAGAGCAGATCAAACACATGGGCCCTGCAGCCCAACAATGGCTACTAGACATGTTCAACAACTGCATCGAGAACACCTGTGTCCCAAAACAGTGGCTCCGAACCAAAGTCGTTGCTATCCTCAAGCCAGGAAAGGATCCAAACGAAGCAAGGAACTTTCGACCGATCTTACTCCTGTGCCAAACTTACAAGCTTCTCGAACGCCTTATTCTCAACAGAATTGTACCCCATGTTGACAGCCAACTAAACTGTGAGCAGGCAGGCTTCCGACCAGGAAAATCCACCACAGGACAACTTCTTAACCTGACCCAACACATTGAAGACGGCTTTCAGAACAACCTCATCACCGGCGCAGTATTTGTAGACCTTTCTGCTGCATACGACAGTCAACCACCAAAGGCTACTGACAAAACTTCATGACATCACAAATGACCTTAAACTCACCAGATTCATCCAGAAGATGATTATTCTCAACAGAATTGTACCCCATGTTGACAGCCAACTAAACTGTGAGCAAGCAGGCTTCCGACCAGGAAAATCCACCACAGGACAACTTCTTAACCTGACCCAACACATTGAAGACGGCTTTCAGAACAACCTCATCACCGGCGCAGTATATGTAGACCTTTCTGCTGCATACGACAGTCATAACCACCAAAGGCTACTGGCAAAACTTCATGACATCACAAATGACCTTAAACTCACCAGATTCATCCAAAAGATGATGCAGAACAGACGCTTCTTTGTCGAACTCGATGGACTGAAGAGCAGATGGCGGAAACAGAAGAACGGTCTTCCCCAGGGTGGCGTCCTGGCGCCTACACTCTACAACATCTACACTGCCGACATTCCATCAACTGAGAACACTCGAAACTTCATCTATGCAGATGACACCTTCATCATCACAACCCAGCATAACACCTTTGAAGCTGTTGAACACCACCTCGACAAAGCACTCGCAAACCTGTCAGAATACTACCGAGCAAACTACCTGCGAGCAAACCCGTCCAAGACCCAGGTGTGTGTCTTCCACCTCAAGAACAGGGAGGCCAAGAGGGAACTGAAGATAGAGTGGTACAATGTGCAGCTAAAACACTGCGAACATCCAGTGTACCTAGGCATGCAACTCGATCGCACCTTATCCTATAAGCAGCACATCCAGAAGACAATAGGTAAAGTGGGATCTCGAAATGCCATCATCGGGAAGCTCGCAACATCACACTATGGTGCTGACCCCAAAACCGTAGAAACAGCAGCTGTTGCCCTCTGCATGTCATCCGCAGAATATGCTTGTCCCGTATGGAGCAGATCAGCTCATGTGAAAAAGCTTGACAGCACACTCAACAACACATACCGAAAGATAACAGTCTGCCTGAGTCCAACAAACGTTGAGAAGATATATCAACTCTCTGGGGTCGGATCTCCAGACCAAAGGCGCACTAACATCTGTCTAAAGGAACGACTGAAACAGTGCACAGATGGCAGGCACATGCTGTACGGACACCAACCGCCCCACAAGTGCCTTGTATTCCGGCACAGCTTTCTGGATTCTGTCCCACCACCTGAGCAGAATCCCCCATCACCAGTCAAGCCTCTACTCATCAGAGGACTCAACTTGAAGTGGCCAGAGTGGCAATGTCTGAACCAGCTGCGGACCAGAATGGGGCAGTGCAGGGCAAACATGGCAAGATGGGGGTATACCGATAAAGAAGATACCATCTGTGACTGCGGACAGATCCAAACGATGGACCATGTTCTGGAGTGCGGTGGAATAAACTGCACGTACGAGGACCTGACCCTTGTCACTGAGACGGCCATCACAAGCATCCAGAGATGGAGGGACATTATATGATCTATGGAGGAGACACGAACGCACGAACTTAGCAAAAGGACAATGTAATAGGAATGGATTGGCCTAAATTAACTACTGGGGTATTTGCTTTCTCCATGATACTTTCTATGGTTTCAAGAACACACACTTTTATTGTGTGTTCAAATACTACCTGTGGGAGTGCCAGCTTTACCAACCGTTATAATAAGGTGCATGGAACATATAGGGCATAGTACCAAAAATGAAGGAATTTCATCCCAGCCACCCCAACCCCGGCCCCTTGCCATTTCCGGATCTAAACTTTGGTGTCTTGCCGGGACTAGTTTTTTTTAAGGTGACTGAGCATGCTCTGTTGTAACTCCACAGTGTCCATGGTAACCTGTATTTAACAGGTGTCCATGGCTGTTCATGTAGGATGGTTAAGAAACGGATAGTTGTTTATTCTGCCTGACTTAGGTATTCCGTTACGTAACAAATTGTGTACGGTCACTGCCTCCTGCACACTGAAGTACATATACTGCTATAGTAGTACATACTCAGTGGGCCTAGATGGTAAAAGCAAAACTCTACATTTATTATGAGAACTAAGGGAACTGTGAGGGAATGAGAATTTTAATTTTCGGAGAATTTTAAGAAACAATTTTCTATATTCTTGTACAAAATGCTCGCATTTATATATCAGTCCCTTATATACATGTACACGCAAAAGGACAGAAAATTGACTAAATGCTCATCTATTTTTTATGTCTTCCTTTTTATTAAATTAAAAAAATTATATTCATTACGGAAATGATATTATGCAAAGTGTCTACAAGCCCTGCATGTAAGTTTAGTCCCAACTGATCACATAAACAATGTCTTAACAAAAAGAAAAAAAGATGCAGTTTTGTTTTGCCTTATCGATCGTTTTCGTAACTTTCAAGCAAACAACATCAACAAAAAAGCTTTAACATTTTTTTTTTACAAAATAGAACAATGAATGACAGTACTTAACTCTTTCAGTGCCAACCTCGTACATGTCAAGGTTATGTTCGTGCTTAAAATCGCCAAACCTCGTACATGTATGAGGTAGAGTAAACATGTTATCAAAAGGGGGCACTCTCGCTCTTTCTAATGGTACCATTTTCATGCATGTATGACCTGTATTTATTTTTATATTCGAGTTCTTGTGAGATGGCGTCACACTAAGTTTCGATTTGTTGACAAAATGGTGGCGCCCATAAACCGAGCTCGCGTGTTATCTCCAGAGAAAATCAGTGTATTTTTTCGCCGATTTGGACAGGGTAAGGGAATACTTTTCTGATTCAGAGTAATCCATGGATATTTCAGAAGTGGATGGTGAGTCAGAAGACGAACATTGGGATACCAATACAAATGATAATGATGGTGCTAAAGTGACAATCATGACAATATTTATTATAATGAACAGAGTTTGTATGAGGAGGGGTATCAGACGCGACACACGTATATTCTGCAAAAGTGCGGAATTCCCCTGTGTTCAGGAGAGTGTTTCAGGGTGTATTACTAGGTGCATGACTAATATTGACTTTTGAAGGTAACAAGAATATACCAGAGAGCAAGATACAACAAGTTTGGTGATTACAACTTATTTACTCTTTTTTTTTATAGAATTTTGAATAATTAAAAAAAAAGCTTGAAGTTGGGCACTTTAGGGTTAAACTTTGATAATGTCGTGGGCACTGAAAGAGTTTTAAAAAAAATCAACTGCAACTGTCAAATTTAAACTTTCCAACCAAGGTTAGAAAATGTTTTACATTATTGCAAGGTATGCCGAAGGTGTAGGCAATAACTCAAGTTCGGCCATATTTTGTACATTACTGTGTGCATGTATCTTTACGACAGTAGCAGTGTTTGTTGAAATATGTTTTGGAATATTTTCTTTGGACAGTCTTAGCAGCAAAAAAAGCATTTTCTATCCTTGGTTTGAAAGTTTAAATTTGACAGTTGCAATTGATTTGTTTTTTCCGTGAGGCAAATATCTATCCTGTTTCAGGTTGTTGTTTTTTGCCTCGCAAGGCGAAAAAGTCAGGCAACCAAAGCCACGTGCTGAGCCAAATGATTTGAAATCATGTACTCTGTACACATGATTCTATGATATTGTTGTGCAATTCTTCTAAAGCCTGTTGGCTTTTTTGCCCATTTTTGAAATCATGCGACCGACAAACAAGAATAATGTGCTGTCATTGGCAAGTTATTAATTTTTTTTGGCTCAACACATAGCTCTGGTGTGCGGTGGACTTGAGGGATGGTGGAATATACTCAATTTGCCAGGAAATTCAACTGTAGGCTGGATAAGCCTCGGCCCTCATGCCTTGGCTAGCGGTTTAAACCTTGACAAGCTGCTGCCGTTGACTGCCGGCCAGTAGAGGGCCGTTTTCAGGTCCAGCTCTCGCAGATGCATCAGGGAACTGACAAGACTACAGCGGATGAGATTCTTGAGCATCGTCTCTAGGTAGGCCTGGGGGTAGTCACCGTCCTCTTGGATCGCGAGCCTGTATCACCGGGCCAAGGCCATGACGGTGTCCTGGAACTGCTCCATGAAGTCCCCGTAAATGAAGAGGGTTAGAGGGAGCCAGGTGGGGTAGGCCTGGAGGGAGGAGATGACCGTATGGGCCCGCTTGTGGTTCATGCCGATGGCTACGGCTAAAGAGACTGAACCTCGCTGGCAGAGGGAGTAGATATTACCAGCCGTGCCTGGCGTGTTGAGTGGGATCTGTGGTAGGCATACACAGGGAGAAATTTAATAATGTAGTTGTGTCATTCAAACGTCCTCACAAGTCCACCACAAGCCCATCACACGTCCTCTAATATCAAGTCAAGTAACAAGCTATTCAAATGGATAACTTGGACAGAAGCAGTTTTTGTTTAATTGTTATGTGAAATGCCTTGTGATTTACATTTGACCAGATTTGTGGTGGACTTGACTACTTCACTAGAAATTCGTACTTTGTGTAAAAAAAAAAGTCCTACTTTTCATCCTGAATAACTTTGTTGTTTACAGATCATGTAAACAAGGCATGACAAATTTTATGGACTGAGTTTCATCAACTTTTTGCGAGAGAGTCAGATTTAAACGCCATACAAAAATAATACCCATTTTCAGAATGTCTATACAGCACTGGAGACGGTGGCTGAAGGCGCGTGCTACAGCCGAAAGCTTCACGAAGGAACGTAGGATTTCCCCTGATGTCATTGCACATCGCCTCGATCATGAGGATTGAGGTGTGCAATGACATCAGGGGTGATCCTGGATTTCTTCAAAAGCTTTCAGCAGCAGCATGCGTCTTCCGCCACCATCTCCAGCGCTGTATCAACATTGGAGGACGCCAAAGCAAAAGTGGCAGAAAGTGAGTAATTGTTTTCAAATGGCGTTTACATCTCACCCTCTTGCACAAAGCTAATGAAACTCACTACATAAAATCTGTCATGCCTTGTTTACATGATCTGAACATTTGGTTTAATTTCGTTAGTAAAAAAGAGAGTTATTTAGTATAAAAAGCAATGAGGGGCGTGGGATTTGCAGGGTGGTTGTGAGCAATACATCGATAAAGTTGGAAAAACATACTTCAGGCGGGTGGAGTTTCTTGAAGTCGCTGTACGTGTGCCTGTCTGTCTCCCATTCCTTCAGTATGAAACCTGCCTCTCCGATGTCCAGGACAAGCTGTTTCTTGCTTTTCTGTGACCAACCCATGGGCTGGCTGATACTCGTCGTACAACCTGCAAAGGTATCATATAGACAAATTATCACTGCTTATTCGCAGCTTCTTCCCGCATACTCTCCATCTGTTGAATTTCCAGCCAGAATCATATGTTTTACTCAGGTGGCTTTAAGTCTTGAGGTCGGCGAATTTCATGAAAAGCAGTGTTTTAGTCAGACAAGTATAGTCTCATCTGAACACGTCATCACTTCACATTCACTGAGGCCTCTGTCAATGACAAAAGCATTGTGTCAGTTATGGTACAGAAAAAAACCCATGATGGAGTTTAGTCTGGACAGTTGTTGGCACAATGCATTCTTCACTGAAAAGAGATGTCGGGGGAACTAAAATTTAAAAGTACTTAACTTTTAAATCGACGAAAACTGCCCGTCATCTTCTGCACCATAGACCCTCATCTTCTTCTTCATGGACCTGCACAGGACACCAGGACAAAAGACAAAAAAGATACTGCAAAAAAAAGAAGAACAATGTTAATCACCAGTCACAAATGTACATCTTTCAAAATTCCACATAACTAACACATACAAATACAAAGAAAGAGCTCATTTCCAGCCAGACGCGATGCTATTTCGTTACACTTTTCATGCTAAACGCACTCAATTTCAACTTGTTGTCATGCAATAAAGCTCAGAAAATATAAGAACTTTCAGTTGCATCATTTCAGACATTTTGCGCAAGTGTTCCAAATGGCTAGATCGCGGGCTTCGGAAATCAATTCTTTGACTTCAACACAGAGACAAGGGCCCACATTACATCAAACAAAACAACACGGTTGTCCTGCCCCCAGATCTGAAAAGAGGACAGTGATCCAACTTTTCAGACCTGAGTTCAAGAGGGGGTAAAATTTACAAGTACTTAACTTTGAAATCGACAAAAACTGCCCAGTGTCTTCTTCTGCACCAGAGACCTTCATCTTCTTCTTCATGGACCTGCACAGGACACACGGACAAAAAGACCAACAAAAAAAAAACTGCAAAAAAAACCACAAGAATGTTAATCACCAGTCACAAATGTACATCTTTCAAAATTACACATAAATAACACATACAAAGAAAGAGCTCATTTCCAGCCAGACGCGATGCTATTTAGTTGCTCTTTTCATGTGGCGCGCACTCAAATTTCGACTTGTTGTCCTACAATAAAGCTCCCAAAATATAAGAACTTTTAGTTGCATAATTTCAGACATTTTGCGCAAGTGTTGCAAGTGGCTAGATCGCGGGCTTCGGAAATCAATTCTTTGACTTCAACACAGAGACAAGGGCCCACATTACATCAAACAAAACAACACGGTTGTCCTGCCCCCAGATCTGAAAAGAGGACAGTGATCCAACTTTTCAGACCTGAGTTCAAGAGGGGGTAAAATTTACAAGTACTTAACTTTTAAATCGACGAAAACTGCCCGGCGTCTTCTTCTGCACCAGAGACCTTCATATTCTTCTTCATGGACCTGCACAGGACACACGGACAAAAAGACCCCAAAAAAAAGACTGCAAAAAAAAAACACAAGAATGTTAATCACCAGTCACAAATGTACATCTTTCAAAATTACACATAAATAACACATACAAAGAAAGAGCTCATTTCCAGCCAGACGCGATGCTATTTCGTTGCTCTTTTCATGCGGCGCGCACTCAAATTTCGACTTGTTGTCCTACAATAAAGCTCCCAAAATATAAGAACTTTTAGTTGCATAATTTCAGACATTTTGCGCAAGTGTTGCAAGTGGCTAGATCGCGGGCTTCGGAAATCAATTCTTTGACTTCAACACAGAGACAAGGGCCCACATTACATCAAACAAAACAACACGGTTGTCCTGCCCCCAGATCTGAAAAGAGGACAGTGATCCAACTTTTCAGACCTGAGTTCAAGAGGGGGTAAAATTTACAAGTACTTAACTTTTAAATCGACGAAAACTGCCCGGCGTCTTCTTCTGCACCAGAGACCTTCATCTTCTTCTTCATGGACCTGCACAGGACACACGGACAAAAAGACCCAAAAAAAAAGACTGCAAAAAAAAACACAAGAATGTTAATCACCAGTCACAAATGTACATCTTTCAAAATTACACATAAATAACACATACAAAGAAAGAGCTCATTTCCAGCCAGACGCGATGCTATTTCGTTGCTCTTTTCATGCGGCGCGCACTCAAATTTCGACTTGTTGTCCTACAATAAAGCTCCCAAAATATAAGAACTTTTAGTTGCATAATTTCAGACATTTTGCGCAAGTGTTGCAAGTGGCTAGATCGCGGGCTTCGGAAATCAATTCTTTGACTTCAACACAGAGACAAGGGCCCACATTACATCAAACAAAACAACACGGTTGTCCTGCCCCCAGATCTGAAAAGAGGACAGTGATCCAACTTTTCAGACCTGAGTTCAAGAGGGGGTAAAATTTACAAGTACTTAACTTTTAAATCGACGAAAACTGCCCGGCGTCTTCTTCTGCACCAGAGACCTTCATCTTCTTCTTCATGGACCTGCACAGGACACACGGACAAAAAGACCCAAAAAAAAGACTGCAAAAAAAAACACAAGAATGTTAATCACCAGTCACAAATGTACATCTTTCAAAATTACACATAAATAACACATACAAAGAAAGAGCTCATTTCCAGCCAGACGCGATGCTATTTCGTTGCTCTTTTCATGCGGCGCGCACTCAAATTTCGACTTGTTGTCCTACAATAAAGCTCCCAAAATATAAGAACTTTTAGTTGCATAATTTCAGACATTTTGCGCAAGTGTTGCAAGTGGCTAGATCGCGGGCTTCGGAAATCAATTCTTTGACTTCAACACAGAGACAAGGGCCCACATTACATCAAACAAAACAACACGGTTGTCCTGCCCCCAGATCTGAAAAGAGGACAGTGATCCAACTTTTCAGACCTGAGTTCAAGAGGGGGTAAAATTTACAAGTACTTAACTTTTAAATCGACGAAAACTGCCCGGCGTCTTCTTCTGCACCAGAGACCTTCATCTTCTTCTTCATGGACCTGCACAGGACACACGGACAAAAAGACCAAAAAAAAAAGACTGCAAAAAAAAACACAAGAATGTTAATCACCAGTCACAAATGTACATCTTTCAAAATTACACATAAATAACACATACAAAGAAAGAGCTCATTTCCAGCCAGACGCGATGCTATTTCGTTGCTCTTTTCATGCGGCGCGCACTCAAATTTCGACTTGTTGTCCTACAATAAAGCTCCCAAAATATAAGAACTTTTAGTTGCATAATTTCAGACATTTTGCGCAAGTGTTGCAAGTGGCTAGATCGCGGGCTTCGGAAATCAATTCTTTGACTTCAACACAGAGACAAGGGCCCACATTACATCAAACAAAACAATGCCCCCAGATCTGAAAAGAGGACAGTGATCCAACTTTTCAGACCTGAGTTCAAGAGGGGGTAAAATTTACAAGTACTTAACTTTTAAATCGACGAAAACTGCCCGGCGTCTTCTTCTGCACCAGAGACCTTCATCTTCTTCTTCATGGACCTGCACAGGACACACGGACAAAAAGACCCAAAAAAAAAGACTGCAAAAAAAAACACAAGAATGTTAATCACCAGTCACAAATGTACATCTTTCAAAATTACACATAAATAACACATACAAAGAAAGAGCTCATTTCCAGCCAGACGCGATGCTATTTCGTTGCTCTTTTCATGCGGCGCGCACTCAAATTTCGACTTGTTGTCCTACAATAAAGCTCCCAAAATATAAGAACTTTTAGTTGCATAATTTCAGACATTTTGCGCAAGTGTTGCAAGTGGCTAGATCGCGGGCTTCGGAAATCAATTCTTTGACTTCAACACAGAGACAAGGGCCCACATTACATCAAACAAAACAACACGGTTGTCCTGCCCCCAGATCTGAAAAGAGGACAGTGATCCAACTTTTCAGACCTGAGTTCAAGAGGGGGTAAAATTTACAAGTACTTAACTTTTAAATCGACGAAAACTGCCCGGCGTCTTCTTCTGCACCAGAGACCTTCATCTTCTTCTTCATGGACCTGCACAGGACACACGGACAAAAAGACCCAAAAAAAAAGACTGCAAAAAAAAACACAAGAATGTTAATCACCAGTCACAAATGTACATCTTTCAAAATTACACATAAATAACACATACAAAGAAAGAGCTCATTTCCAGCCAGACGCGATGCTATTTCGTTGCTCTTTTCATGCGGCGCGCACTCAAATTTCGACTTGTTGTCCTACAATAAAGCTCCCAAAATATAAGAACTTTTAGTTGCATAATTTCAGACATTTTGCGCAAGTGTTGCAAGTGGCTAGATCGCGGGCTTCGGAAATCAATTCTTTGACTTCAACACAGAGACAAGGGCCCACATTACATCAAACAAAACAACACGGTTGTCCTGCCCCCAGATCTGAAAAGAGGACAGTGATCCAACTTTTCAGACCTGAGTTCAAGAGGGGGTAAAATTTACAAGTACTTAACTTTTAAATCGACGAAAACTGCCCGGCGTCTTCTTCTGCACCAGAGACCTTCATCTTCTTCTTCATGGACCTGCACAGGACACACGGACAAAAAGACCAAAAAAAAAAGACTGCAAAAAAAAACACAAGAATGTTAATCACCAGTCACAAATGTACATCTTTCAAAATTACACATAAATAACACATACAAAGAAAGAGCTCATTTCCAGCCAGACGCGATGCTATTTCGTTGCTCTTTTCATGCGGCGCGCACTCAAATTTCGACTTGTTGTCCTACAATAAAGCTCCCAAAATATAAGAACTTTTAGTTGCATAATTTCAGACATTTTGCGCAAGTGTTGCAAGTGGCTAGATCGCGGGCTTCGGAAATCAATTCTTTGACTTCAACACAGAGACAAGGGCCCACATTACATCAAACAAAACAACACGGTTGTCCTGCCCCCAGATCTGAAAAGAGGACAGTGATCCAACTTTTCAGACCTGAGTTCAAGAGGGGGTAAAATTTACAAGTACTTAACTTTTAAATCGACGAAAACTGCCCGGCGTCTTCTTCTGCACCAGAGACCTTCATCTTCTTCTTCATGGACCTGCACAGGACACACGGACAAAAAGACCAAAAAAAAAGACTGCAAAAAAAAACACAAGAATGTTAATCACCAGTCACAAATGTACATCTTTCAAAATTACACATAAATAACACATACAAAGAAAGAGCTCATTTCCAGCCAGACGCGATGCTATTTCGTTGCTCTTTTCATGCGGCGCGCACTCAAATTTCGACTTGTTGTCCTACAATAAAGCTCCCAAAATATAAGAACTTTTAGTTGCATAATTTCAGACATTTTGCGCAAGTGTTGCAAGTGGCTAGATCGCGGGCTTCGGAAATCAATTCTTTGACTTCAACACAGAGA